TACTACGTACTACGTACGTACGTAACGGTACGACGTACGACGACGACTACGACTACGACACACACCTACCTACCTACCTACCTACTACCTACTACTCCTCTCTCTCTCTCTCTCTCTCTCTCTCTCTCTCTCTCTCTCTCTCTCTCTCTCTCTCTCCTCTGCCTTGAGATTTCAGGTTCAGCGAAGGCTGCCCTCACCAGCCATAGCATGCACAATTTCTGGGCCAGGACGGCGGCGAAACTGCTTCTTCGTCACATACCATCTCTCAGGAAATGTGCTTATCTGCCAGTTTATTAATCAGAGGCAAAAGGAAAAACAATACCTATAATTCATAGTTCTGTATAAAAGTACTAACATTAATGATGACGATGACGATGACGACGATGATGATGACGAATAATCACAAAGGATGGATTCTTAGTCATAGACAAATTAATTTGGGTGAAGGAGTTCATGGGCTCTGACGCTTGAAGTTCATTCCAAAAAACCAAATAAGCCGCCTACGTTTTGGTTACTCTTGTCCAAAAAACCAAGTTATGACTCGTGAAAAATCAATGCACAGCAGGTAATGTGGTTATGTATGCAACAAATTTAAAAGCATAGACAAACACTTAAGAAATGTAGAACTTCTATACAAAATGAAGAGAACTTCCATAAAAAATGAAGAGAACTATATATGCTCTAAGTTCTCATTAAACAAAAAATCTTTGACAAGGATTATCAGAGATGCTATGCTTGTCTTTGGAAGAAAGCCTTCTCTGTTAAGTTTCCTGAGAAGTGACACACCTTCGTTACCTATATATCATGAAACTCACAAGCATTTGATGAAAATAGCCCGTGTTAGTGCACGAAGTATGGCATGCTTGTATGCACATGCATGAAAGGAGATGCTAACCAACACTCGAATCAAACCAGTCCAAGGAAAAGAAAAGAAGCAGAGTGATGAAGGTATTAAGAGGAAGACTGAGGTAGAGGACCGATGGGAGTAAAGGACCAAGAAAGAGAGATATTAAGGGGAATGAGAGAGTGAGGAAAGAGAGAAAGAGGATTTTGAGAGTTGCCCATTACAGAGAGAGCGAGAGCGAGAGAGAGAGAGAGAGAGGTTCATTGGTCAATAGATCATGGATGGAGTAGATGCAGTATTTCCAAGGCAGCTCGATTAAAGTGTTTGGGAGGTCTTCTTTCTATATTTTTAAGAAAACTTATTTGGGAGGTCTTTCTCAATTGGAAGGTCTTTCTCACATGGCAAAGTACAATACTAGCTATGTATTTGAACCATCTTTTTCCAGTTAAGAAAAAATAATCCATAACAGAAAAAGTAAAATAAAATGAGAAAAACTAATTAGCCTATAGGCGAGGTGCCATTAAGTGTGTTGGTCAAGTGAGCAAATGTGGAACTTCATGCAATAAGGGAAAAACTTACATTGCTGATGAGCTTTGCTCCAAACCAAGCAGATTCTGGTCCATGAGAAGGTGGAAAAACCTTTACTCCCTCTGAAATGGAATGAGGAAGTAGTCTCTGCAACTCTTTCTCTAATCTTGCTGATAAAAACAATAAAAACAATTAGAACGAACAAAGCTTCTTTCTGACACAAGAAAATTATGTTTTCTTTCATGGTTACAGTTTTCTATTTCGGTACATCTTTCTGACATCTTTTCTTGATATTTCCTTACATTTTTCCAGAATTGAAACAAAGATTACCAATATGTAAACCAAAGAAATTAAACAAATTAAAGAATTTGGGTGCAAGTCAATGACACAATTGCAACTCTTAATGTGCAAAGCAGCAAAATGCTGTGGTGGTAGCATCCCTACACCTAGTTACCACATCGTGGTGTCCATTCCCACCGCTAACACCCCCAATTAACACTTTCAAAATGTAACTCCCTAATCTATTGAAAAAATGGGTAGGGGCCTGTCTTCCCTACCGAATAACCCAAAAAACACAAACAAAAAAAACAATGGGTAAACACCCACTGACACCTTCAAAAAGGGCTGGGTCGTGGTGGTAGCACCCCCGTACCTAGTTACCACATTACTGACACCTTCAAAAAGGGCGGGCTGGGTCGTGGTGGTAGCACCCCCATACCTAGTTACCACGTTGTGGTTTCCAATCCCACTAAAGCCACCCACTGACACCTTCAAAAAGCTAATTCCTAATCTATTTGAAAAAATGGGTAGGGTTCTATCTTCCCCAGTGAATTACCCAAAAAAAAAAAAAACAATGGGTAATTAAAGGAAAAACTGTGCTAAGATGAATGTATCGGTTGATCACAAAGTTAAAATATAGCTAAGATGTTATACCAAGAACTAAACTACCTCCCATGCACCAAAAAAAGAAAAAAGGCAAATCTCTCTCTCCCTTTCTCTCTCTCTCTCTCTCTCTCTCTCTCTCTCTCACACACACACACAAATACAACACACATACCAAATAAGCATACACACAGAAAAGATGAAAAGCAAACCATGTTCTTCTTTTTACTTCGAATGGCTAACATTTTATTGGTAATCATACACAAGCATACAAGCGGGTTGGTGAGGATTAGAACAGTGGAACAACATAAACAACCCAATATTTCACAAATGACAAGTAGCAAGAACCATAATGTTGCCTCTCCAATCCTTTGTTACCTATCTTATGCACCAATGGAAGATGACTAGTTTCAAAATAATTTGAAATTTGAATATGCTATTCAATTTAATAATAAAAAAATATTATTCAACTTAACTTGAGTTGAAATGCTAGAAAGACAAATACGCCATTTAATGTGATGAAGTCATACCAGCTAGACCAGGCAAGCATGAGCTGCCACCTGCCAAAACTACTGTCTTGTACCATCCATGATCAGGCGCCACATCAACAATATGACAATGCTCCATGCAAAGTGCTACTGCTTGATGGAGGGCCATTGTGCGCCTGGTTTACACAAACATGTTCAATGTTTTATCATTCTCCTGCTCATGTAAAAATGAACACACATTTGTATGATTGGCATGCTGCATATGGTCCAAGATGAAGTATTGGACTTGCTATTAGCAAAAATAAGGCATCCCATAATCTTCTGCAGCATGGTACGTAATACTCCAGTATGCTTCCACCTTTGATTCCTGATGACAGACGAAGGAGATTAACCAATGTGGCGTTCATCGGGATAATTACCCAGTTACAGTTAATCTCCACTGTCTAATATTGGGAACAGATGGCGGATGCCCCTTTGGAGTACAATATGCCATAATCCATTGGATTATGTCATTAAGGTGTGCTTTCTTTGGGAGTGAAAGATGCATGGGAATTTAGAGCTTAGAAGACAAAATATGAAGAGAGAGATTACTTGAGTATTGCATTCAGACATTTAATTGTACCATGGAAATAAATAGATTTTCAAAACAAACCAATCCAACTCTTTGATGTAATAAATAATAGTATAAGGAAAAAGTTTATATAAGGTTACAATCTTAAAATGTAGAATTAAAGATGCACCTCCAAAATCCATCATAAAATGTTGTTTGGATGTTGGAAAACCCTCTAATTGATCATCTCGACATCGAGATGTAGGAATATGAAAAGAAAAAAAGATTTCGAGTCCGCGAAATACTGTATCTTGCAACACATTATCTGGATCATCCATTTTTAAGATTTTCATGTGTACATAGATCTACTTGATTTGAACAATTCTTAGAGTTTAAAATTTTATAATTAGAGATAAAAATAGATTCTCAAGCCATCCTAAGAATTCTTTATATTAAAATTACATTTATGATAAACTTTTGAGGTGCGCCTTAATTGGATTATTTAAGGTTGCAACCTTATGCAAACCACACCCATAGTATAATTTGCCATCATTTACCAAGAAAATATTTGTACCCTCTTAATTTAAAACCGCAAATAAAAGAGAAAATCTAGGATGCCTACAATCCTCCGAGATGTGGCTGGAAGAGAATCTCCCCAGTTTGAAACCGTTCCTTTGATAGAGTGAAGAAACCTTCCCCAGGGACGTCATAAGATGCTTCTGTATATTTAGTTTGTTCTGCTTCATAATCAGTAGCAACATAGCACAGGTTCTGTAAAGACATCAAACTCTTTATCATCAGACTCGGGAAACAAGTCTGATATGTCATCAGGCCAATAAAGTATTTACTTCACTAGTAATAGTAAAAAAACACTAATAGAAAAGTTTAAAATGATGGCTATAGAAAATCATAGTACATTGGGGTCATCATAATCCCATCAAACGATGGATGCTGACGGAGAGAGTGGGACCCACCACTGGGGTCATGGCCTGTTCCAATGTGCCCCACTTTCTTTCCCATCTATTATTTCATTAGCTGGTGATGACCTGTCAGACAATGAGTTTACCATAGTCCATTATATTGGTGCACTTTCTGACAATAAATCAGAGTTTAAATCGGGGAACAATTTACGTACTCAAAATAACAAACAGGGAACAATTACTACAATGCTCTTTAGGGAAATGCCCCTGAAATAACAAGCAGATCTGATGGTGATGATGTAAGGAAATGGTCAGTATACTACAAGACACCCAGGTAACTATCGACTTCAATGGAGATGGCTACCTTTATGGAACTGACTTCATGTCATTTCATATTTCTCACAAACAAAAATGAAATCAATTTAAATATGTATGGTTTTTCATTGAAGCCTTGGAATTGATGCCATAGGAAGAACAGCCTTATTGTCATTGACACTTCAGGATATTTTCTAAGTAGGACTAAGTTTAGATGTTGCTTAAAACCCCAATCAATCTAGCTACTCCAGAGCCAATGTAAACTATTATACTTCTAACCACGATATCAAGACAGACCTTTTGACTTAAATGTGCCCAAATGTGAGAATATCAAACCCTCTTTCATTTGGCAGAGAGTGCCTTCAAGGAAATTACCAGGAAGAAACAGAATGCATGAAATGGACTCATTATGGTGAGAATGTCCCATGGGAGCAAATGGTGCTTCCGAATACAAAATAAAACGTTTGATGGGCTTAGAAGTTATTGGAATAAGGCCCGGATGATGATGATGATGATGGGTTTAGAAGTTTTAGTCAACAGTTGGTACTTGGGATATCAAGCATGGCATATGTTGAATTGCATATATACTACTTACATATATCATGCTTGATATGCTCGACTTGTGCGCAAGGATGACATGCACAAATTGAGAAATGGTCCAAATTTTTAGCATAAAAAAAAAAAGCATGATATATGTTGAAATGAACATTTCCCCATCGTTTTGTACTTTCAGAAATCATTATATCTAGGAGAGACAATTCTAATCACAAGCATCTACAGGTTTTTGTGGTTGGCAAAATCTTACAAATATGTCGAACTTTTCTTAAGAAAGATGAAAAATGGGATAAAAATAGATATTCAAGCAGAATATCCACAGCATACGCAAAAATTTGTACAACAGTACCAAATGCTTCCAGAACTTGAGCATAACTGAAAAACGGTAATCATGGATATGTTAAACCCTCAAAGAATATTTAACTTTTCCAGCGTAAAAAGTAAACGAAGAAATCTGATAAAAAGAAACAAAAAGAACGAAAACTTAAAGCAGGAGAAAGTAAGAAACAACCCTGCAAGTTTGCAAATACCTCTTTCAATGTGCGGACAGTGTACATGGACTCAAAGTGAATGCCTTTCTGATGCATTAGCTCACTAAGGTATCCAGTTAACCTAAGTGCACCTTGCCCAATAACTTCCACACCCACGTCATGCATCACTTTACCACGTAAAACTGTTGTTGCCAGTATTCCACAAGAGACACAACTTGTTAGTCTAGTAATGGGATGAGTTTATAATAATAGCAATGCAGATTATGAAGCATAAATTTTGGATTTCACCAATTTGTCAATGCAGAGACCAGATTGGGTAGAACATTATGAAAATTTAATAACATACAGGGATTCATAGGGAATACCAAAAACAGCCAAGGCATATTTTAAAAAATAGTGATATCAACATGCAGCCTCACATGCCATTGATTTAGCAACACATCAAATTGGGAGGTAATTTTTAATTTCTTTTATTAGACAAGAAGAACAATCGTTAGATTTTTCCAACAATTCTATGAAAATTAAGTATACCTCACATAGGGGATAATGCACCCACATGAAAGAACGTGGGAGAATATTCTAATTTATAAAGCGCCTATCTGGGCCCGATTACAGGCAGATCATACTTACATCACCTTAACATGGTAGTATTGATACTGCATGTCAGGGTGATCCATTTGAATGTCTCTTAACGCTCCTGCTCCATGTTACTTTGAAAGTAATACATCTGCTTTTAGGTCAAGTTTGAATGTGTCTCAATCGCATATTTCTAAATCATTTTTCTATCTATACATGCACATAAGTTTCTGTCATTCCAAATCAGTATCTATGCAATGTAGAATGAACTTGTGCTTTGGTATTATACAGTATAATCTCAGAATCCATTGATACATCACAGTTGTTATAGCTGTTATGGATTCAATTTTATTCACTTGTCAACTCTTTGGATATAGTAGACAAAAAAATTGATAACATCAGTTATAGGCATGTACGTGTAATAATTTGTACAAAAAAGATTTCAGTATATGGAAGTTAGCCAACTGCAATCTTACCATCATTTACATTTTTTTAATTAACATTCCCTTCTTTAGTAAGTTTCCATGTTCTTGGCAACAGCGACATGGGCACTGACACTAGTATCAGTTGTTTGACATGGGTTTGAGGTAAGAAACGTAGACTACAGCGACAATACAACTTTGTTCATATTTTAAAGAATCTAAGTAATAATTAACTGGACATACCCACACTCCACATGTGCATATAAAGTTTATTATGATACATGATGATCTCTTATTTTCCTTCAGTAACATTTATTTTGATCCATTGGGTATAGATATGACAAGACACTGTGATATGCATAAACATCAAATCAGTACATGAAAACATAGAAAATAGTATATGGATATATCATAATATCAATTAATGAAACTATATAAACTCATAGCTATAATTGAGGGGTGTCTTAAGATGCCAATAAGTATCAGACATGCGTCATACAACCACACAGTAAGCCCAAGTGAAGTGGCTGGGGTAAAACTGTGTAGAATATTATATTCCAACGTTGTTTTATACATTTTTTAGCAAAGTTGATTTTATATTGGTCTTCTATACAAATGTACATGGTTTTGTTAAGGCAAGGACTCCGTAAAAAGGTAATAAGCCAAACCAAAATCTGTACAATGCACTGCACAAATATTCCTATTCAAAACTGAGACCTTGTAACATGAAAATTGTTAACAGCTGCACCTTCCTCTGCCAATGCATCAGCAAACATGTTAGCCCCACGCCATACATGCTTGAAAGAAATAAGTAAGGAACTGCAAATCTAAAAAATTTGGTCAAACATTTGTTTTAGGTGCAAGGGACAGGGATACTGTTTTGATGCCCATCCAATCAACCTAATCACATCCACAGAATCACCTTCCTCTTCAAGGGAGGAGCCTTAATTGCTATCAAACAATTGAGGGCCCTCCAACAGCACCAGAGTCTCAGCCTTTGTTGAGTTTTCCATGTGATTGCGCCCTGAGATGGACAGTATATTTTCGAACATATAGGATATAAAGACCCCAACAACACACACCAGAACCAGGGCGTAACCATCAAAATTGAGCTTGATGACACTGGGCGGCATATGCGACCACTAGTTAGATCTAGAGATCTCTATAGGTCCAGTTTTTTAGGATGTGACCCCAGTTTTCTGTGAGAGTCTGGTGTTGAAGAGCCAAGGGATCCTTTCAGTGTTTGGCCCAAAAGCAGAAGGTTGCTTTAATCTTGTCTTTTAAGAGTTCCCAACTGACTTTCCTTACTCTCGAATATTTGGAAATTATACTGCAGGCTCATTGACCATATAGAGGTCAGTATGATGCCATGCAAAAGAAACAGACTTGCAACAGGGGAATGGTGGAGAAAAGTATTCCAAGGATGGTGTATGACATTTTCAGGCCACAACCGCTCCCATCAAAGAGGCCTAGGATAAAAATTCAATTCTGGGCAGTGATTGAGCAATGAAGGAACAAGTGGCTGATCAATTCCTCCCCTCATCTATACATAACACAATGAAAAGGGAGTGAGATGCTTCTCCATTGAATTTGTTCTATTGTAAAGGCTTTTCTTATAGAGAACCGGCCAGTTGAAAGCCTGGACGTTTGGAGGGATTGGGGTATGCCATGTCTTGTATGCTATGACTGCCAGGTTGTTGGCTGGATTCAAAGTGTTAATCATGGAGGAAACCGAGAAGACTGTTGAGGGGAAAGGAGTCAACCGTTTTGTCCCCACCAATCCAAGGGATAAACTAACAGTTGAGGAGGTCGAGAATTTCCATCATAGCAGGGATCCCCAAATCCCTAAGATCCCTTTTGAAACTTGGTGACCACATCAAATGTCCCCAATGAACCTCATAACATTGCGATTTCAGGGTGCTCTGGCTAGTGGCAATTGAGAAAAGGTTGGGAAATGTCTTTCTACAGTACTCTCCCAGATCCATAAATCCCACCATCGCCAGATCGTTTCTTCATTTTATAGCACAAATTAAGTCCTTGTGTTAAAATAACTTTGAACAGAGGCAATACCTTGCAGTCCCCAAGGCTCAAGAAACCATGATAGCCTTTGGACTCCAACCAACTCCTTGTTGCCCATATTTACCCTGGATAACCCACTTTGACAAACGGATTGCCACAGCCATTTGCAAAGGAGGCAACAGTTTCATTCCATGAATTTCCTGATTCCTAGTATGCAATCCTTCTTAATTTTGCAAACTCAATCCCAAGTGACCAAATGGAACTTTTGTGACCCCACCGACTCTGATCAAAGAAAGTCGCTCCAAACACTCAGTCACTTGAAAATGGACACAAGCATCCTAAAAAGAGACATGTAAAAAGACCAGAATGTTGGACTGAGTGGCATTAATGAGGATCATCCTGCCCACTAGAGACAAGAGTTTTATTTCCCAAGAATTTTGGTGAGAGCACCCTTTCTCTGGGCGCCTAGGCGGCCGAATCCATCTTTTTGAACCTTGGATGAGACAAGATGGGGCCTCTACTCAATGATGAGAACCCTTGGAGAAGGTCTTGACTGTATAGCTTGGAGAAGGTCTTATAGGCCCAAGACTATCAACCCTACTCTTTATATTCCAGATGTGAGTATGAGTAGAAGAGATCATATCGTGATGCCTAACTCGACACTCTTATTTTAGAGGTTCTGATCTACCATTTGCACTTACTCGCTTTGTTTGCTGCCAGTATTATTACAAAGGGTATCCCTCTGTCTTCTCATCTTCTTCCTTGTCTTTGACTCCTTTTATTTGGGTACCACATTGAACCATACTGTGTTGTTTCTATGCTACTTGCATCCTCAGGAAGCCTACCTCTGAGGTTGTCAACAGTTCAAGTTTCTGGGTGCTATATACAACTGATAAGTAGTATAACAATCCTACAAGTCTACACATACTAATGCATGTCTCTGATGTGTGATACATGTTAATTAGTCTTTTACTAACTATGAGAACGATTTCAGTGTTACTTAGTACAACAATCCTTGCTAAAAGTTAACCACAAGAGAAAATTTAACAACGTCAATGATTTAACACATAATCGAAAGATATAGAATTACGATAACTAACTTGGAACAACTGATGTCACTTGGAAACCAATATTGACAACAATCCCCGAAGTGCATCTTGCAGCGTATAAAGCCAAAACTGCCTACAAAATGTCCAGAAGGGAAGAATTCATCAGAGAAAAAGACATATGGTACCACTGGAAAACTGGTCTGTTTGATAAATTCCAAACCAGTTCATTTTCTAGGCTGCCTAAAAGATCAGAGCATATATTGAGTATATATAAAAAATTCATAAACTCTCAAGAATAATAAGATTCTCCAGGATATGTTTCTTTTTCAAATTATTATTCTAAGATTTTTAATTAAATTCTATGCTAATTATATGCATACAGTCCATAGTAAGGAAAATATCATAAACAAATCGAATGACTAAGAAAGTACAGGTATTAACATTTGGCAGGTTATAATGATGCACAGCTGGTAGAGAACTAATTGCAGGTTACCTGATCAACAGCACAAACAGCTGGGACATTCATATCAAACAAGACTGTGTATATTGCCTCTCGTAATTGCTTTCTAGCAGCTTTAGCTGATTCTGTATCTGCATAACATAGAAAAAGAAAATGACAGATTAACCGATATTTCCATAGATGGATTATGCAACCCAAGTGCATGTATTGTAAGCAAGACACCAGAGGGATATAAACGGTTCCACTCTAACTGTTTCATAGATTATCAGAGAAATCTTTTATATCCAACAAGAAGAAAATAACTACTCTAAAAATGGCTGCACTTGTTTGAGAAAGCATATTATCAATAAATCTATGTTTTTTTTTTTTGATACCTAAAACATTTCAGTACTATAAAAAACTTAATCTTTAAAAGCTGCATCTTTTTTTCTAAATAAACATAAAAGCTTAACTGCATTTTGAGCAAACAACATAAACAAGTCATTTTCTCTCAAAAAAATATAAACAGGTCATTATTTTTTTCTTTTAGTGACTGTGACATCAACATCAACACCATCATCATCATCAAAGCATTTTCCCAACTAATGGGGGCCGGTTACACAAATCCTGGTCCGCCATTCTGCTCTATCAAGGACCATGCTCTTAGAGAGGCCATAAGTCCTCATATCTTTTCTCACTACTTCTAACTTTGCCCTTTTGGACCTACTCCTTGCTCTTTTTAAGCCTTCCACTTGAATTAACTCGCACCTCCTAACAGGTGTTGTACTGGGTCTACGCTGCACATGGCCAGCCCACCTTAGTCTACATTCTATCATCTTATTGCCTATTGGTGCCACACCTCAATTCTTCCGAATGTATTCATTTCGAATTCTATCCCTTCTTGTCTTGCTATTCATCCATCTCAACATCCCCATCTCAGATACACTCATTATATGGGTATTGTTTCTTGGTTGTCCAACATTCCGCCCCATAGCTTCATTGGTATGCAGCAATCACATAAAACTTTGGTTGCACATCTCCACTTCGCCCACCCAGCTCTAATTCTACATCTTTCTCAATATCTTCATTTTCCTGGATTATCGACCCAAGCTATCAAAAGTGCCCTCTTTTTGGTATTTCTTGGCCGTCAATCTTAACTATACTCCTATTATTATTAAACTTGCAGAATGCAACATCAATAAAAGCTTTAAACAATTGCAGGAGAAGTTACATACACTAATCCTTCATTTCTTTTGGTGATAATTTACACCAATGCACTGTAACATCACATTTTCAAACCTAGAATTCAGGCCATAATTAACGAGTAACAAAGCCAGAATCCTCTCTTTATCTCTACTTTGGATATATTCCAACAATAATACTCATTCAAAAGACCAATTTCTTCAAACTTTATGAACTTATTCATTAAATAAAATACTTTGCAATCCAAGCACTTAAGGACTGCATATGATAAGAAAAACCCAGCCACCATATTTTACATGTATAAAACCCCCCAAAAATATTTTGATGGATTATTACTAAAGGAGATATTTTGACAGTAGGAAGGTCTGGAAGGAAAACCACTCCAAGATATCATTTTGCCCCTTCTTTACCAAGATGTCAGAACTTCAGATAGACCTTAAAACACACAAGCACATTTTCCAAGAAAACAAGCTCCTCCATATGAAACTCTCAATGACCAAAAGAACCCTCATAAAGAATTTAGGCCTGACTTGGAGCTAAGCCAAACAGATCACCACCCAAATCACCTGAGAATCAAGAAAATTGTGAAGCTAAATGGAGGAACCAAAACATACCCGTAGTACCTTTGAGAACATAAAAAAGAAACCAGTAATTTGTCATCCATTAAACAAAAAGCCCAACTACAACTCAATATGTTGAGCGGGTTCAGACCCACTTGCAACTGGAATATCTGTTTAATGTTATGCCAGTGATATCTGCTTAAGCGTATTGGATAAGCAAACAAATTCACTGGTTTCCCATCATATTTTTACAATTACAAGCCATTGAATACTCATGTTCTGATAATTACGAGAATAACATTAATACCATACAGATAGGATTCAGCTGCAGCATATAAGCATACTGTTAAAGCTGAAAAAAACATCGGTACTTAAGTTCAAGATAAGAAAATGGAAAATAGCAAATCAAATGCTTAAGCGAAGGTCTTAGGAAGTAGTTGCTGACCATCAGTATGGCAAATGGGAGTCGATACGACAACAGGCTGTCCAGACGGTTTCACCTGCATTCTGCAAGAAAATTATATCAATGTTTTGGAAGCAAAGAGTGAAAGGAAAATTTCCAAATGTAACCATTATAAGAATTCAACATTAGTGGGTTCCCAACAACCGTTATGTCTAAAGTCGGTTAAACATTGCACGTCTTGGTTCAATGGAATGAACATGAGAGAGAGAGAGAGAGAGAGAGAGAGAGAGAGAGAACACAATAGAG